AGTACTATATCTATATTTTCGAAACTCTAATATGGAGATTATCAACTAAATACCATTTGTATAGACGGTCACGGTAGCCCATTTGTTAAAGCACCGGTTCCATAATGGGAATGGTATGCGTTTAAACCCCTTCCTCCACTTCAGATATATTTGAAATACTAGTAAAAAGCAGCAACTTTTCTTCCGTCAAATGCTCCGTACATTTGTGTGAAAGTTGTCGGTCTCTTTCAGGAGACCTTAAAAATGGAAACCTTTGTCATGGAAGGTGATCATGGAACGGTAAAGATCCTTCACTTCTTAATATCCCTGAATGACGATTTATTAAAAATTCTTAACCGGCCTTAGATGACTCTTTATATGTATATGAGTGGAATCTTCTCGAACAATCCCTCAATTGTGTAGCGTGCTATTTAATACAGCTACACTCTTGTTATGTTCCAATTTTTATGATGTTTTCTTTATAGATAAAGAACATAAGGAAACAAGAAAATTCAAAGAATTGTGGTCCCCCATTTTCAGGGTCTTTGTTGGTGAGATGTTATTTTTTTATGACATATTGTGTCTAATATAAACACCTTATCATATGTCATTTATTTAGAAATTAATCATTGAAGTTGAATTTTTAAAAAAAAAATAAGGTCAATCGTGAAGGTCAAGGTCAAGAGGTAAGAAATCATAGCATGTTCGGAATTATCTTGTCACAGGTAATGCACATGTCGAATACGGTATTAAAGTCCTATCCCTTCTCAGGAAGGAACAAAATGTGTTTGTGAAACACTGATGACCCCGTACGGCATCATAACGAAGATTTAACTTTTCTTAAATGCAAATTAAATATACTATTACCCAAAGTAGGGGTTTTCTCACAAGTAATACGATTGTGAAATACAAAATCCCTAGCACCATCTGTTCAAAAGTTATGGTCAAGGATAAATTTTTGAAAGGTAGATCAAACTCCAAGGTGAAAGGGTCTAAGTTGTTGGTTTCTTAAGAAAGGTCTTGCCACAAATATTACAAATGTGATGTATGAAAGCGCTAGACCTTACCGTTCAAAAGTTATGGCCAAGGTAAAAGTTTTTTAAAAGTACGTCAAACTCCAAAGTCAGAAGGTTAAAGTTCTTGTTATCCAATGGAAGGTATTCTAACAAGGATTACATATGTGAAGTATAAATGCTCTAGCTCTCACTATTTAAAAGTTATGGTCAAAAGGAAAGTTTTTATAAGTACGGAAATCTCCAAGGTCAAGGTCAAAAGGTCAAAGTTGTTGGTATCCAATGCAACGTCTTGCTTCAACGAAAACCTATGTGAAATATGAAATTCCTAGTATCTACCATTCACAAGTTGTGGCCATCGTCAAAGTTTTAGAAAAGAAGATCAACTCCAAGGTCAAGGTCAAAGTTCTTTGTATCCAATGAAAAGTCTTCTTACAAGGATTACATAAATTATGTGAAGTACGAAAGCCCTACCCCTTACCGTTCAAAAGTTATGATCAAGTTAAAGTCTTTTTATAAGTACAGAAATCCCCAAGGTCATGGTACATGTAAAAGGTCAAAGTTGTTGAAATCCAGTGAAAGGTCTTATTACAAAGAATACATTTGTGAAATATGAAATCCTAGTATGTACCATTCAACAGTTATGACCAAAGTAAAAGTTTGGCATTTTTGTGTAAAAGTGGATTAAACTCCAAGTTCAAGGTCAAAAGGTAAAATTTGGTGGTGCTTAAAGGAGGGTTTTGTCAAAAGGAATACACATGTGAAATATGAAAGTCATAGCTCCACTTAATCAAAAGTCATGGTCAATGTTAATGTTTTTGTGAAGGACGGACGGACAGCTAGACAGCTAGAAGGACAGACGAATAATATTTAATGTCCCCTCGCTTTCGCGAAAGCGGAGGACAATATGTATCTTCAAGAGGGATATAACAGTATAACAATAATCCTAAAGCATTCTAGAAAGAGATATTAACTTTATCATTTACTTAGAAAAAAATTGTATATTGAAGGCATACAAATGTAAGAGTATATTAGCGAGCGCAGCGAGCTCAATAGACTAACGAGTAAGAACGGAGGAGAATTTGGATTGAAATCTGTACATAGGTCAGCCAAATTTCTCTGTGAAACATTCTCAATATCCCTGCACTACTCAATGTCCTTTGCGCAAATAAATAAATAAATAATAACGTAAAGCATAAAAGGCTAGATCAGTTTGTAGAAATCTTTCAAAGAAACAAAAAATAACTCTACAATGTTTTTCAACCAAAATTGCACTAGGTCTATAGTTTCAAAGAGACGCTCTCCTGTCTCCGTAGGCTCCGACGAGCTCCGTGACGTCGTGTGACGTCATAGCTAGTCGAGATGTCTCGTGCGGCTTGATGTTTGAAGTGGCTGATCAATTTTTAGAGTGTTTCTGATGGTACAACTGCGCTCGCCCCAACGGTCACACCGTAAAACATATTAGAATATCTTATTAGAAAAGGAAGTACTTTACACGCTTTTCAAAACATCTGGCCAAAAATATTTCTTTTCCTCAAAAAATCCATGAAGTACTTGTAAAAAATTGAAAAAAAAGTCATAATGCTTAGATTTGCTAAAAGCAATTGGAAATACAAGGAAAACCAACGTATAGAATAATAAGCATGTTCTTGTCAATCTGTAATTCGAGTCCAACAAAAATGACCTGCTTGTTTTTTGCATTTTCTTCTTTAAACTGTCATCATTTTATCTATACACATTAAAGCAGTATGGCAGAAGGTATATTTATATACAACTTATAATTATGGTACGAGACAGTGCTGTTAGGAAATGATAGACATTATGAATAATTCTTTTCTATTATGAACGTTTTTCGGTAGCTAAAAAATTACGTAAAAAATTGACGAACATTAAGGGTTATTAAAAGCAAACATTATTTAATACAAATAATTTATTTCTTCTTTTCAATATTAATGGTTTATAAATGTATCAATGGTAGGGGTACCCAGTGCACGAAATGAGATATTGAATATATGCAACACCAACGTTCAAACTCCCGGTGGACCCATAGTAAGAGAATAAATAATTCAATATATGTATGTAAATTTTCGATTTAATTTTGGCTACATTCTATGCAAGTCCTTTAGAATTACGATCATAGATAATTAATTCATGTAAATATTTAAACACGACATAAAAATTCAATGGATTTCTTTTAATAAAGGGTAAAGGATAAAAGTACGATATTATATAGTAGTATGTTATACAATACAAAGATTTTTCAAATAAGTCATCCTAATTCGGTGTTAAAGAATATGATTGATTAAATGATTGATTAATTGTATATTGTTTAACGTCCCTCTAGAAAATTTTTCACTCATATGGTTACGTCACCACTTGCCGATAGAGAGATGCAAATTGTGTCCTTTACTCGGCACTCAGTGCCATTGAGGAGGAAGGGAACATTTTTTTCGCGCCAGCACCTACTGCGACACGGGAACTCGAAAAAAACGGTCTCCACGTCCAACAGTGGGATTCGAACCCGCGGCGTAAGGATTGACTCCTTACTTCGCGACTCTAGAGCTCTAACGCGGGCGTTTTTAAGAATATGAAACTAAATTATATGATACATAAAATATAATTTTAAAAAAAAGCAATGCCATATACTGGAGTTGTGTAGGATTTTTTTTTTTCATTTAATTCAATTAATATATTTTTTTCTACAAATAGGGAGAATAAATGAATATGAAAAGAAAATTACAAAGTTAAATAAATCAAATTATTTATATGTGCATGTACATTTATACTCCATGAATATATCAAATGTATGAAAAAATCTTTATGATAACTTTTATCTTTCTTTTTTTTCTCCCTCTCTCTCTCTCAACATCATAATTAAACGATTGATACGCTTTTTTAAATAACCTATAAGAAAATATGTCTCCTTATGAAAAGCACAGTTTCAACCTTGTTTTCACGGGTTTAAATTTTATTCTAACATTTTCTTTCCACCGAAAATTCTTTCTGGTTGACCCCCTCCACTTTTTCCTATATACATCACGTTAGTTTTATTATGGTGCTGGGGGTCAGGTTGTAGAATTTTTTGCCAGATATGTGTAATACTCTTTATCTGAATCCCCTTTTTCTGACCCCTATTTTGTAAACTGACAATACATGACATATTTTATTTGTTCATGATATAATAATCTGATTTTGTCTGCCGCTTTTAAGAAAAAAAGCAAACTTAGTCCTTCTCCTATGGTGGCATATTTCTGCCCCCTACATGCAAGATACATGCAAGAAATTTATGTCAACATGCAAGAAAATTTTGTCAACATGCAAGATAATTATGTTGACATGCAAGTTACAAATCTTTTAAGAGAATCTGATTTTAAAATGGGTAAAATCCCATACTGACGCTCGTATCTGACATCGTAGATGCAAGTTGCAACATAATTATGACAAGATGAGGGTTACTTATGATGACATGCGAGATAATTATGTAGACTTGCAAGATATTTATGTTAACATGCAAGATACTTATGTTAATAAGCGAGATAATTATGTAGACATGCAAGATATTTAATTACACATGCAAGATATTTAATTACACATGCAAGATATTTATGTACACATGCAAGATAATTATGTTAACATGCTACTTATTTATGTCAACATGCGACTTATTTATGTTAACATGCGAGTTATATTTTTACATAAAAGATATTTATGTCAACATGCAAGATAATAAGTTGCATATCAACATACATATCTTGCATATTAGCATAATCATCTTGTATGTTGACATACATAAGTCGTATGTTGACATAATTATCTTGCGTATTGACATAAATAAGTTGCATGTCTACATAATTATCCTGCATATTGGCATAAATAAATTGCATGTCTATATAATTATCTTGCATCTTGCAACTACAATGTCAGATACGAGCTTTAGAAAGTAAATTTAAACATATTTAAATTATACATTCTTATGAGATTGGTATTTTTCATGTCAACATAATTATCTTGCATGTTGTCATAAATATGTTGCATGTCTACATAATTATGTTGTATGTTAACATAATTTATCTTGCATGTAGGGGGCAGAAATATGCCACCATATTCTCCAGAATACGTAAAGAACATAAATGCATATACTTAATCAGACTTTTATGTTTCCGAGAATTTTATAATTCAATGATATAAACCATTGTAAGTATTTACTTCCCTCTGGTTTTGAATGAAGAGCATAATTATGTTTCTGATTACATTTAAGTTAATTAGAAAAAGTATTAGTGCAAGTTTAAGCATTAAGGAAGTAAAGTATATGTATATATATATATAAGATTCAACAATCCCTGTTTTAATACAAACACTTCTGTCAAGCATTGCAGTAATCTACATCTTCTACAAGGTAATTAAAAACTAAAACGGCGGGTGTTTTTCTATAATTTTTCTTATCACGCTCCGCATGTCATTTTCTTCTGGATGTATAGAGCATTCCGTATAATTTTTATGTCATTATAACGAATTATAAGCGTGTTGGTATCAACTTACAATTTAAATAATTCTGTGCATCAAATTGTTAGATTTGTGTCAACTTCAATTTTATACAATGTACATGTAAGGCCTCTCATGCTAATTAAAGAAAAAGAGAGCAATATATTATTCAAAAAATGTCTTTTTTATGTTTGCAAAGATTTCTTATCTTATTTGCTTTTGTTTTAACGCCGAGAGTTTTTAGAATGAATCCATGCATTAACTTGAAATGCCTTTAATGCTGCAGCTTTAAGTGGAAAGTAGGGTGAAAATAGGGGACGCTAACTGGATCTCACTTTATCTCTGTCATATCGTAACATATCAAGCTACAAAAGGTAAGGATGTGATAAATTGCTTATAATTTTTCTGGCATAAATTGATGTAAACCAACATTTATTCGCGTGCGAGAAATATTCTTGAGTTTCGCGACCTTTTAGTCGCGATTATAAATCGTCGCTACCTATGTATTTTGCTTTGTTTTTTTAGAAAATGTTTCTTTAATCGTGAAAATTAATAGTCGCGGATTGATTTCAAACTGACGAATAAAAGATGACGCGAATAATAGTTGTTTTACAGTAATACTCCTCACATTGATAAATTGATCTTGAACTTATTAATAGACTTTTTAATGACATTATACAATGCATTGTGAAAGATATAAGGGATCAGTGGTGATCTTACTTTAAAGGCCGAGATTTTTAACCGTACGGTTTCTCAGGTAAGGGGAGAGATTTAATTTTACATGACTGGCACCCCGAGGCATTGACAGTCGTGCAGACCGTGGGAAGCCCTAATCCCTATACACAAACAGTATACACAAGAAGTCCATGAGTATTACCTGTACAGCTTGTTGGCCTACTGTTCATCATAAAATTAGCAGATCTCGACATTGTAAATTTGAAATATCAATAATAATTAGTGATTATTGTAAAATTCCTTAATTTCAGACTTATATCTAATATCAAACAAGCAGAAATCTCACAGGCCGACTTTTAAAAAAAATCTACGGTATGCTGTGAGGTCACAGCAGCAATGACTTGAGTTCGTTGAAAAAAAAAATAATCAATATGAAAAACAGGCATAACTTCAAAAGTAAAATGCTCATCTTTGTCTGTCCCTTTCAAAATTTTAAAAACTATTCATAATTATTGTAAATATAGTAACTACAGGGCTTCCATCACGGTTAAATTGTAACAGTTACTTCACGTTTGTATAAAAAGTCCTTTTATTAGCAAATGTACATTCTGTATCCTATTGTGAAAAAACCGCTAACGATGGTTTTGTAAAGTTAAAATCACATACAAGTACGTGTGTATTTTAAGTAAATTTAGATTATAATTAAACAACTTAAAACGAAATATTAAATTATTGCTAACGTAGGCCTATGTATTTCTTTCAAAACTATTCTTAACACCTGTGACCTTGAACGAAGGTAACGGCCCACGAAGCAAGAAATGGTCGGCTATAAACAGGAAAAGGAAAGAAAGAAATTCTAAATAATTTAATACTTGTCCAGTCGAAGTTGTTACCTATCAGATATTTTGTTTCATCCTTACTATCCATTACATGCAAAAAATGTAACCAGCTTATTTTTTCTACTTTATTTTTATCGTAATTTTTCGCCGCGTCTCATAACAAGAATCATTTTTAATTTTTACGAGTGAAAACATGACTTCATTCCCCTATGCACTTTTCATTAGAAAAATATACACAATCTTCTTCTATTTTATTAAAACATTATATGCGATAATTTTCATTTTTAATGACATGTTTGCAATAGAGATAATCATATTTAATTATAATCAAGCTAAAATTGTTTGCATCGAAACGACTTCCTTATTGCGATGGTAATTTAGTGGTAAACATCAGAAGACCGAAAGTTAACTTGATGGTGACCACGCGTGTCAAACAAGGTGAAAAAGATATATATAGGAAATAGTAGCTAAATGTCAATCAATTTCAAGTACCCAATGATGGACCTTAATATATTTGATTGACGGGGGGATACAGACCAGGTAAATCTGAGGGCGGTGCTTATTATCTCGGGCTTTAACTTGAACATGCTTAGTGCCTGTTAACCTTTCTGGAAAACAAATTGAGAAATTAACCTAGCTTATGATCTCCTTTATAATTAAGACCTTCCTTTACATTTTGATATGCCAGAGACACAAACGACTGTTGCAAGTGTTGGATAATTCATGCATGCGGGCGTCGCCTGTTATGCAAATCATCAAAGTTTACAATTATCGTTCATGCCCTCGCATACCCAAAAGTCTAGATATATGTAGTGATTCCTTCAATATAAGCTTTGTTCAAACTTTTAAAACATTATTAATAAACATTATCCAATGCATAAAAACATTGGTACAAAATTTTAAATGACATGTTTTTCAGTGTTTGAGATTAACAATCTATTATTTTATCTATATATATTTTAATCGTATCATCACATTAGCAAATTAACATATATAGCAAAAGCATCAGTGGGCATCCCCTGTCGACCGGTGTCGCATAATATTTGGTCCGCCTCGTTTAAAGGTCCGGCCGGACCTAATACGATAACATATTTGGTCCGCCTTTTATAAGAAAAGGTCCGGCCCGTATAAGAAAAGCCCCCCCCCCCCCCTGCGTTTTAAGGTCCGGGTGGTGCAAAATGTTTTAATCTTGACTTTAATATATGAAATTAAGGCTCGTTTGTTAATACTTTATGATGAAGGAAGGATTTACCCTTTTGTGTTTTATTTTTTGTACAACATTCACGTATCTCTAGACAAAAATCTACTCGTTTAATGTGTTTTAAGCAGTGCCTTTTAGGACCATGACTTCTTTAATAATGTCACAATTATTGTGCACGTGTTTGTTTTTCCCTAGAATTTGCTTTGTGTGAATTAGTACAATTAAAGGTGTGAAATCTGTCGGTGTGTATAGCTAATAAAACAATTTCTTATAAAAGGCGGACCAAATATGTTAACGTATTTGTTTACCTGACAGGTACCCACAAGTAGAGCCCGTGGCAGATGGCGCTGTCATTGAATGGTCGGTGAACCTAATGGTTATGTGTTAGCTAAAATGCATATCAATAGATCTGATTTTTTTAATTTTAAAATAAATAATGCTAAACAATAATATATTCAGGTCTTTCATCTGAATTTTACAATTGTAACATTGGTGTCCGCCAAGGAGAAAATTTATAACCTCTCCTGTTTTCTATGTATATTAATGATTTAGAAGAGTTTTTCGCCAGCAGAAATGTGCATGGGCTTTCTTTTAATAATGTAAGCAGTTTAAACTCTGTTGAAAATGAAACTTTGCTGTATTTTAAATTATTTATTCTGTTCCATGTTGACGATACAGTTATAATGTCTGAGTCTGCAGAGGGTTTACAGCATGCTCTAAATGAGTTTCATTCGTATTGTGTACAATGGAAACTGAATGTCAATGTAGACGAAACAAAAAATTATGATTTTTTCGAAAAGTCCATTTGTTAAAAATGTATTTTACTACAATAATTCTGTTATTGAAATTGTGAACGAATTTGAATACCAAGCTCAAAAAACCATGTATGGAATTATACGAAAAATTAGACAATTTAATTTACCAGTAGATTGCCAGCTTGATTTGTTCGATAAAGTTGTCACTCCAGTACTTCTGTATGGATGTGAGATATGGGGTTTTGAGAATATTGAAATAATTGAACGCGTTCATCTTAAGTTTTTGAAATATATTTTTAATTTAAAAAGTAGTACTCCTAGTTATATGTTTTATGGCGAAACAGGTCGCTTCCCTTTGTATATAACAGTGTATTCAAGAATGATATCCTATTGGGCAAAATTATTGGTAAGCCCTGAAAATAAGATTGTTTATGTTACATATAGACATTTATTTGAACAGTTTTGTCCAGGAAGTCATAAGAACCCTTGGATTTTATGTATTAAGAATATACTTGATAGTTGTGGTTTCTCAAATGTATGGAATGAACAGAGCTTTTTAAATATTAAATGGTTAAAAGTATAGTTGAACAACGTCGTAAAGATCAGTACATACAGAAATTATAGTATCTTCAAAACAGAATTTGGATTTGAAAAATATTTAGCCTTACTACCAAAAAAGTTTAGAACAATTTTAATTAAACTTAGAACAGCAAATCATCGTCTTCCAGTTGAGACTCGGAGATGGTTTGGAATTCCCAAAAATGATAGACTATGTAATCTTTGTAGTAATGGACAAATAGCTGATGAGTATCACTATATTTTAGAATGTAAATTTTTTTCCGAATGTAGAAAAAATTATCTTCCTAGTAAATATTGTAATAGACCAAATTTTTTCAAATTCTCAGAACTGTTGTCATCTGCTGACTCCAAGGTATTAATTAGATTTTGCAGTTACATAAATAGAGTATATGAAAAAGTCTGTCCTCCATTGTCATTTTTTTTTACTTCATACGAATGTATTTCCGCCATTTCAAGTGTATTTTGTATATCATTTTTTGTATATATTTGTACATACATGTATATTGTTGAACCTCATGTACTATTTATATGGTTTGAGCGAATAAACTGAACTTGAATGAACTTGAACTTGGCGTACACTTCAAAACTGCGACATTTATAATAATGATAATCATACATGGATAGTATATTTTTATGTTATAAAGGGAAAATTTTGGACAAGGTTTATTTTCGTAGCTTAAAAACTAGAGAAAGGGACAGGGCGTACCTTAAAACGCAGTATAATATAAGGTAGACCCTCTGTATTTCAGATATTTTTATGTTATAAATGGAAATTTTTGGATAGGGTTTATTTTCGTAGCTTGAAAACTATAGAAATAGACAGGGCGGACCTTAAAACGCACTATAATATAAGGTAGACCCTCTGTATTTCAGATATTTTATGTTATAAAGGGAAATTTTTGGAAAGGGTTTATTTTCGTAGCTTGAAAACTATAGAAATAGACAGGGCGGACCTTAAAATGCAGTTATCAGAAAAGGTCCGCCCTCTGTATTTTAGACAGGGTTTATTTTCGTAGCTTAAAAACTAGAGAAAGGGACAGCTAGGTCGGACCTTAAAAAGCAGTACAGTGTATAATATAAGGTTCGCCCTCTGTATTTCAGATATTTTTATGTTATGAAGGAAAATTTTTGCTTATGAAAATATTCAGTGCTTTGAAGTCAGCATATATCCCCCTGTTTAAGAATATAATTAAATATTTCATCGTCAAAGTTTGATTTTGGGGGGCAAATATTGGTTATTACTGAATAAAGTTCTTTCAATTGCTGTAACATCATTGGCGTCGGAAGTAAATTGGAAGAGCGTGGCTATTTCAAAGAGAAAATTTTGTTAAACCTTAAAAAAAGCGCAAAAAAGAAAAGGGAGGGGGGGTGGTAGGTGATTTTAACTTTTTTCCGTACCAATTTTTCCCCAAACACTACCACGTACCCTTCTTTGGCTACACTGCAACGTGCCCTTTGAAAAGGAGTTAAACTTACGATCCAATTTTCACTGCATATATCAATATGACAATCTTTGCAAAAACAATGACCCCTCCCTCCCCCAGTTCCGAAGCCTATGTACACTGAGAGAGTAAATTTCTTAAACACGCCTATTATTAAATATACATGTAATTCATTGTTCTATGATGCTGTGAGCTCCTTTAACTTTTTTTCTGGTTCGTGACATACACCAGTATATATGTAGTTTGTTTTTATTTTATTTTATTTTTTGTTCATTTAAACTGACAAGAAGTCAAAACTATAATTTCAATTACATTCTTGAATATCTGTCTGAACGCAACAAAATAAACTTATTATAAATTTAAACACACATACAAAGAAATCAAAATAACCTCTTACATTCATAGAAAAATCTAACGTTAACCAAGTAGCTGCAACGAAGTGGTTGTACTTTATTAAGTTTTTGATACGTCGTGATTTATAAAGTCACTTTCTATTTCTATCTAATTTATTTAAATTTGTATGCGTTTAAAGTTTCTTATTATTAGTCATGTTAACTAATAAAAACACATGTGATATGGTACTTTAGGTTTTCTCAGACAAGACAATTATAGGCTAACCCCAACTGCCCAATCCGCAGGCATGTTGTTTTTACAATAACGGTGTAGGGTAGTACACCGTGACATAAGCCCCTGTTACAGTGACTCTCCAGTTATTGACAACAATATTATACTAGCTATAGAATGACAGATTTTTTTAATTAATATTATTAAGAAATATTCTGAAAGATGTGAACTTCTTTGCGAGTGGAAGTCGAACGTTTATCATGTTTATAGGAAAGAGACTTGTAACTAAATGATTTGTTGGACTAAAGAACATTCATCTGTTCATTCCATACTGATTAATCTGTCAGTAAATAAGGCAGTGAAGGTTAATGTATGTACATTTGTATTCTAAATATTTTTAAATGATAATGTTGATATAAGTGTATTAATTTAAACGACAAAAGAAGCATGTCCCATTTTCCCGACAGGAAACTTGATCAATAAATCTATACATTCCTATTTATGTATCAATTTCTTACTTATTGTTGACTACATTCTCTTGAAGGAAACACTAGCTATTAATACGACTTTATACCATTTATTAATTTAAAAAGAATAGTTTTTTTTCAATTAATATCGAATGAACACATGCATACAATTTGTATAAAAGGCCGAGGGCGGACCTTTTCTTATAGATCCAGGCGGACCTAATATGTTATCGTATTAGGTCCAGCCGGACCTTTAAACGAGGCGGACCAAATATTATGCGACACCGGCACATCAGAACAGTGCTCCTTGTCATGATTGAGAAAAAGCGGGAAAATCTGTCAACAACTCAGTTTGCAAATAACGGCCTAACAATAAGTATTAGAATTGATTCTAAATGACACATTTTTACATTTAAAGACAAACTATCATAAAGTCGAATGCAGACTGACTTTTTTTCATATTAATTATTATATAATTATTATACAAAGGATTGCCCATGGATTTTTCCGTCTTCTTCGTTGAATTTGACGAAAAGCACAAGTTTGGTGTAACTGGTCGTTAAGGGATTTTTACTCTTCCATGGCATCAGATCTCACATTACCTATTTTAGGAGTCAGTATTTATTACTCCTAAATGTTATACTGGGTTCTTTAAACAGAGTCTTGAGCGTAGTTTATGTTTGCTATTTAGCTATTTGCTGTTAGCTGTTGACAGATTACGGTTGTGCATATTAAGTCGATTACATGTATTTTGATATCCATCATTGAAATAAAATGTTTAAGCGTGGTTTTAATATGCTTCAAAAATGCTTTGACACATAAATTATCTTTTTCTTTATAAATTTGCGACAAGAATAGATTTAAAACTCCTTTTTAGAAAAATTTAAAAATTGATAATTTGATTAACAAATTGACAAAAATAGATACAAGTAATGAACAATATTTTTCCATTTTTGCTATTTTCCTTATTTGCACTCTTGTATAAAGCAGGTGGCATTTAAAGAGGAGTTTGCCAATGCAAAGTACATACTAATTAATTTACAATCATGGTCATAAAACACTTCTCATTTACTAATTAATTTACAATGATGATCATAAAACACTTCTCATTTAATAATTAATTTAGAAAAATAAAATGAAATAAAGTTTTTCCTTGAAAACCTACATTTAATTTCAAGTGGAATATTAATTTTTTATTTATCTATTTTAAAATTACTTTTTTTTTGTTCAGTTTAATTTTTTCTTTCTCTCTGTTTTCTTAAATATAGAATTTTATAGCGGACTTGCTGAAAAATACTTTTGAGAACCTTATTTAAACATTTTCCCTCGTCAATGCTATCATTTTTGTTGTCAATGGCTTCTTTTTATTCGGAAGTTTGATCTTGTGAGTAACAAAATATAATAACTTCCTTTTTTAATACAACATATTTCCATATGTCTTATCAATGAACATATCATTAATATGCAATTATATTTATTTTTAGAGAAATCGGGAAGCAAAATGACCATAAAGGTATTTTTCATCTATGTTCCTGTATTTCTTCACCTACTGAAAACCATATCAGCGATTACTACCTCCTGTGGTCTTGGATTGTGTTTGTGTGATCATAAAGCTCATTCAGCTATATGCAGACCCGCAAAAAAGAAGCAACCATTACAGTTTCTTCCTAGACTTCCACGCAACACATCAGATGTAACAATTCGGTATTTCACTCGTCAAAATTTATCAGCATCAGATCTCATAAATATAACAAGTCTCCCATTAAAAACTTTAAGGCTTGAACACTTGAATTTGGAATACTTGGAGTCAGGACTTTTCCAATATTTTGAAAAACTCACTACATTAGAAATATCTCACAATAAAAAACTTTCATCCCAGATTCTACGAGATTCTTTCCGAAATATGACGTCATCCCTACAGGTTCTTCTTTTGACTTCTAATAATTGGAAGAAACTCGTACCTGATACTTTTAGGTATGTTTCACATACGAGCCTGAGAACATTAGTTTTGGCGCGAAATCAGTTGTTGAACTTCACTACCGAAGTGCTTCGAGACCTCAATTTAACAGCTTTAGATTTATCATTTTCTTATTTTAAAGATTTAATTGTTTGCCAGGGTGACATAGGAGGGATTCCAAACTTGAAACGCCTACAGCTTCAATCAACAAAGCTGAGGAATATTCCAAATTGTACATTAGAATGTCTTCCAGACCTTCGAATACTGAATCTACAAAACACGAAACTTGGAAAATTTCCCAAGTTGTGTTTTGATACTCGAAAAGTCACCAACAGACTGGAGGAATTAAATCTTATAAACATTGGTATAATAGGAAATATACCAGAGGAACGTTTCCAATGCCTTAAGAGCCTTAAAAAGTTAAACCTTAACAATAATAAAATTACTAGTATTCCGAGGTTTTGCAATCCAGAGGGAAAAAGCAACGTTCCAGGTCTAGAAGATTTTCGACTTCAGTATTCTCTTCTATCAAGACTAAGTAATAACTCGTTTAGTTGCCTTCCTGCTCTTCGCATATTAGATCTCAGGAATAATATTATGAAAGATATTCCAAATTTTTGTAGTGAAAAACACCAAAGTTTTACCCCAAATCTAACGACCCTTTATCTCTCAAATACAAGCATAATAACATTGAAAGGTTATCAATTTCAATGCCTCCCACGACTAAGAAAATTAGACCTCCGTTTTAACTACTTTTCAGAAATGCCAGTGTTTTGTAATACATCAAGGCAAAGTTTACACCCAAATCTGAGAGAGTTGTATTTGTCAAATACAAAATTGAAATATTTATTTAAAAAAAACTTTCTTTGTCTGCAGTCTCTTCAAACCCTGGATCTGAGCCATACCGAATTATATCAACTTTCCAATAACATATTTAGTCCTCTTAAATCTCTTAAGAAGTTAAAAATAGGGTATGTGAAAAGTCTTAAAATAATTTTTAAATATGCATTTAACATATCCAGCTTACTTACGATGAAGTTTATCTATAATGATTTTGACTTCGAGGGTAATAAAAAATATTACCCTGAACACATGTTTAAATGGTGCCCGAATGTGACGACGCTATACCTCAATGGAAATCATTGTCCAACAGGGTCGCTAGGAAACGTGCTACTAAAACCCTTACATAAATTAGCAGCTCTATTCCTGGAAGAGAATAGAATGGACACCATTCACGAAGACACTTTCAGATCGATGAAGTCTTTGAAAAGAATTTCTTTAAAGCAGAATAAACTTATCGGATGGAAAGACACTGTTTTTGAAAACCTCACAAAATTGATTCATTTGGATCTAGCATTAAATCGGATTGCAGTGTTTAACCAAACGTCAATTCCTCCGTATATCATTAATAATTTAGAGACGTTCAGTCTCGCATTCAATCCTTTTGACTGTGGATGCGACATGATTTGGTTTAGAAATTGGTTACAGAAAACAAATGTAACCCTTCTGAATTTCCCAGAGAAATACACATGTCAAACGCCCGGAAACATGCTTCGTAAATCGATATTATCACTTACCCTTACAGAAGAAGATTGTAAAGAGAAAAATCCTTGGCTAATTCCACTTATATCTATGTCAGTATGTGCTTTTGTGTTGGTGTCAAGTTCCATTATTATTGCCGTGCAGTTGCCAAGTATTAGAAACCTAGTTTATTATTATCGTTTAAAACGGATGGGATATGTTAAACTTCTGAATGAACAGGAATTCAAGTATGATGCTTATGTCGTATACTGTGATGCAGATGAGAGCTGGGTTTTCCAAAAACTGGTTCCAAAACTTGAATCTGAGGAACTTCGATTGTGTCTTCCTGATAGAGAATTCGAAGTTGGGGCTGATAAATGTGGCCAAATAGAGGAAGCATTTAAAAACAGTAAGAAAGTCCTGGTGGTTTTGTCAAATGAGTTTGCAAAAAGTGAATGGTGCCTTTGGCAGACTAATCTAGTTGAGGAAAGACTAAGACAAAAAGGCGAGACATCAGTCGTGTTTTTGCTTTATAAAAGCATCAATAGTAACAATATGATTTCTTCGCTTCACCGAACCTTTAAAAAGAGATCTGTTGTAACTTGGTACGAAGGTGGTACCCGTGAAGCAGTATTCTGGAAGGTTGTGGTGCTGGCGTTAGAGACACCACTAGGAGAACCACCGGTATCGGTTGTAAATGGTTAAAAAAAAAACAAAAAGTGCAGCTACTACTTCATATAATGTAAACTAGTGCTAATTGTAACGGGGACCGTTACAGATGTTCCCCAAACGCTCCCAACTCCCTTTTGGTGCCATATTCCCTGTAAGCTTCATTAAATAAGACAAACTCTATGCATCTGAGATTTTAACAACATTTACAAAGAAGTGTACAAAAATCATTTAAACTTTAGCATTGCACGCGTGCACATGTGAATGCATTTGCGTCATGACCATATCATCTTGTCTACACAATCTATATTTTTAATACACTGAATATTAAAGTATTTAATCCAAAATTATTTAAAAAATACGCTCATTCAAGTGTGTGTTTGATTTTACTCATTTCACGTGCACGCACGTGCATACATGAGCATGGTGACCATACATTCTTGTAGAAGTCCATGACATCTATCTATGTTCTAAATTCCACCCCGTTTGGGTGAAAACTTAGGGAGTTATAGCTGTTTAAAGTTTCAGCCAATCAGATTGCAGCACATGTACACGCACGTGTATGCATGTGCATGGTGACCATACCTACTTGTAGAAGTCCATTATATCTATCTATGTTCCAGATCCCATCCTGTTTGGTTGAAAACCAAGGGAGTTATACCTGTTTAAAGTTTCAGCCAATCAGATTGCAGCGCACTTGCATGCACGTGTTTCATGATAATTGCTTTATTTCTTGTTGTACGATATCCTAATGCATGACTATGTTCAAAATTTCAAAGGATTTCGTCAAAAAACAAGAAAGATATTGAGACTTTAGTTGCAGCCAATCAGAGCAAAGTGCACGTGCATGCGCGTGAGATCTTGCTATTTTCATCATGTCATCATGTCTATACTACTAATATATCCTCACATTATGAGTTTCAAAGCATTTCATCTAAAAATAGAACAGTTGTGGCTATATCTATTATATTGGTCATTTCACGTGTTGCACGTGCACGCTCTTGCAAGCACGTGCGCGCAAAATGACCTTGATTCCGCAAATCTACATAACATGTCTACTAACCCTAAAAAGGTTTTACCAACATCGGACGAACAGTTTACAAGATCATTCCCGGACAAAAAAGTTCCAGGAAGAAGAAGAAGAAAAATAATAATAACTAGTGCTAATTGTAACGGGGACCGTTACAGATGTTCCCCAAACGCTCCCCAAATCCCTTTTAGTGCCATATTCCCTGTACGCTTCATTAAATAGGACAAAGTCTATGCATTTGTGACTTTAACAACGCCAAATTCATTCAGATTTTAGCATTGCACGCGTGCGCATGTGAATGCATGTGCGTAATGACCATATCTTCTTGTCTACAAAATCTATATATTTAAATATAGTAAATATTAAAGTATTTAATCCAAAAGTATTTTTTAAAAAAAACGCTTATTCAAGTGTATTTTTGATTTTACCCATTTCACGTGCACGCACGTGCATACATGAGCATGGTGACCATACCTTCTTGTAGAAGTCCATTACATCTATCTATGTTCTAAATCCCACCCTGTTTGGTTGAAAACCAAGGGAGTTATAGCTGTTTAAAGTTTCAGCCAATCAGATTGCAGCATTTGTACATGCACGTGTATGCATGTGCATGGTGACCATACCTTCTTGTAGAAGTCTATTATATGTTTCTATGTTCCAAATCCCATCCTGTTTGGTTGAAAACCAAGGGAGTTGTAGCTATTTAAAATTTCAGCCAATCAGATTGCAGCGTACGTGCATGCACGTGTTTTCATGAAAACTGCTATATAACATGTTATAGGATATCCTACTGCATTGCTATGTTCAAAATTTCAAAGGATTTCGTCATAAAACAAGAAAGATATTGGGACTTTAGTTTCAGCCAATCAGAGCGTAGCGCACGTGCATGCGCGTGAGATCTTGCCATATTGACCACGTCGTCTTGTTTATACTTCTAATATATCCTCACATTATGAGTTTCAAAACATTTCATCAAAAAATAGAAAAGTTACGGCAATATACATTATATTGGTCATTTCAAGTGATGCACGTGCGCGCTCTTGCAAGCACGTGCGCGCAAAATGACCTTCGTTCCGCACATCTACATAACATGCCTACTTACCCTAAAAAGGTTTCCCCTTAATCGGATGTGTACTTTACAAGATCATTCGCGGACAAAATTTTCCCGAGAAGAAAAATAATAATAACTAGTGCTAATTGTAACGGGGACCGTTACAGATGTTCCCCAAACGCTCCCCAACTCCCTTTTATAGTCATATTCCCTGTAAGCGTAATTAAATAAGACAAACTCTATGCATTTGAGACTTTAACAACGTTTACCCAAAAGTGTACTATGTTCATTCAAATTTTATCATTGCACACTTGGGCATGTGAATGCATGTGCGTAATGACCATGTCATATTGTCTACACAATCTATATATTTTAATATGCTAAATATTAAAGTATTTAATCCAAAAGTATAAAAAAAAAAACGCTCATTCAAGTGTATTTTTAATTTTACCCATTTCACGTGCACGCAAGTGCATACATGAGCATGGTGACCATAACTTCTTGTATAAGTCCATTACATCTATCTATGTTCTAAATCTCACCCCGTTTGGTTCAAAACCAAGGGAGTTATAGCTGTTTAAAGTTTAAGCCAATCAGATTGCAGCGCACATACACGTATGTATGCGCAGGGTGACCATACCTTCTTGTAGAAGTCCATTATATATATCTATGTTCCAAATCCCACCCCGTTTGGTTGAAAACCAAGGGAGTTATAGCTGTTTAAAGTTTCAACCAATCAGATTGCAGCACACGTTCACGCACTTGCATGCATGTGCATGGTGACCATACCTTCTTGTAGAAGTCCATTATATATATCTATGTTCCAAATCCCATCCTGTTTGGTTGAAAACCAAGGGAGTTATAGCTATTTAAAGTTTCAGCCAATCAGATTGCAGTGCACGTGCATACACGTGTTTTCATGATAATTGCTATATGTCATGTTGTAAGATATCGTAATACATGACTATGTTCAAAATGTCAAAGGATTTCGTCTGAAAACAAGAAAGATATTGAGACTTTAGTTTCAGCCAATCAGAGCAAAGCGCACGTGCATGCGCGTGAGATCTTGCTATTTTGACCATGTCATCTTGTCTATGCTACTAATATATCATTACAATATGAGTTTCAACGCATTTCATCAAAAATTGAGAAAGTAAGTCTATATCAATTATATTGATCATTTCTCGTGTTGCACGTGCGCGCTCTTGCAAGCACGTGCGCGCAAAATGACCTTGACTAGGCAAATCTACATAACATGTCTACTAACCCTAAAAAGGTTTTACCTACATCGGATGAACAGTTTACAAGATCATTCCCGGACAAAAAAGTACCCAGGAAGAAGAAGAAAAATAATAATAATAAGAAACAGAGTAAAAACAATATGTTCCCCAACTTCGTTTGGGGAACATAATAATAAGAAACAGAGTAAAAACAATATGTTCCCCAACTTTGTTTGGGGAACATAATAATAAGAAACAGAGTAAAAACAATATGTTCCCCAACTTCGTTTGGGGAACATAATAAGGAACATCAGACTATTTAGCCTGAATTATTTTTAATTGCCTGTGAAACATACGATACGTTAAGAAGGTGAATGTCACTTGCATTTAAAACAAAAGGTTAGGATTATTAGTGCATGCTTAATAATCAAAGCATGAGATAATTAAAAAGTTGAGATTTTTGTGTATTATAAATAGAGTGTTTTTTGTTATGATTGTGATATAATTTTTTAACAAATTAATAATGTCCTTTTTAATGTTACATTGTATATTAGATTGTATATAATAATTGTTATATATAAAGTATAATGTTGATTACTAATATTTTCATGTTAAATGGATATTGACAGGGTTCCTCTTCGTGAATTTTTATGGATGACGTCGAATACATATGATTAGACTGTAAATTTGAGGATGATAGAGCTTCAAACATTGTTCATATATAATTTTTTTTTAAATCAGATACCTTAGCCTTTGTATTTTAATACCATTCATTAATCTTAATCATTGTTGTTTTGTTGTTGGTGTTGTTATTGTTGTTTTATGGCGTAAAAATGGTACATGTATTTCTTTATGTACACTAATCATTTGTTAACTGAATTAATATATATTACAGATGGTGCAGCGAGAACGGAGAAAATCAAGCGTAAATCTTAATATTTCTCTTTTTTCTTTTTTTTCTTTTTTTCTTTTTTTTTCTTTTTTTTTTTTTTTTTTTTTGCTACAAGCATTCCAATTCGATTATTTAGAATAAAAAATCCATTACTTTTTGTGAACATTTCTTTCTTGCAGTGATTTTGATTTTTTTAAATCCTCTACATACTCTGCAATATATTTTAATAAAAGTACACTTAATCATGCTCATTCTGGGAAAGGAAATCCTTATCCACGATTACAGTTCCAGAGGTTTTGCCATTTCTGACAAATGGTGTTTTTTTTTTAGAAAAAAAATTCCATGGTAAGAAAAGAGATGGTAAAATGCTTTAAGCTTTTGTGTCAAAACGCTAGGAAGAATACCACGTGACCGCCTGCGTCACGTGATTCATGCATTGGCAAACAGTTGCTAATACATAATGATGAACACTGAAACCTTATATTTTTTCATTTATAGAAATAATTCAATTTGTTCTCGAACTCTTTGATCACCCCTCGTACTATAAAAATTGGCCATAGTATTGTAATAAAAGCAAATTTTAGCTCATTAACTTATTGTTTTTGCAAGAACATCATCAAACATCCATCTTACAGAAAATAAGACGCCGTGTGACGTCACATTCTAGACTTAGTTTCTTGCTTTATGTCAGACGCAGATCAAAGTTAAAAGTTAAGCCATCGGTTTTGAGGTTATCATGAAATACACTTCTGCACAAACGGTCGCACCGTAAAACATAATATTGTGTAGGTCCGTATTTGCTCTGCACCTATTTTGTATTGTTTTATGGCCTTTGATTTTGGATACTGTTCGTTATCTCCATAACTGTCATTCATATGGTGTTGAAAACAAAAACATTAAGAATTTTCTTCAGTGTTTTCATTCGATACGCAAGAGCATGCTCTACGTATGAAAAAAAATCTAACACGAGGTAAATTATTGACAAGCATGTTGTTGAAACAAGAATATCAGCAGTCTCGTTTAAAGTCATCATTTCGTAAGTTCTATGGTCCGCAAATACAATTTATCATTTAGTCAAATGCTGACTGATGTTTTTCATACTAATTGTTAGTCCATTTTTTCAACATTGAATTGACGACGGATTTTTTTCGTCATTTCCCGATCATTATAAGGAGCACACGGCAGGTGCGACCGGTCATCAGGGGGTGCTCACTCCTCCATAGCACATGATCCCACCTCTGAGGTTTCGGAGCTCCATATTTGCTCTGCTCCTATTCTGTTTTGTTTTTAGACTTTGATATTGAATACTGTTCGTTATCTCCATATCTTCCTTCTCGAATATCTTTGCTTTGATAAAAAAAAAATTATTATAATATTGTTATCTTTTAAACAGTTAGAGAGTAAAAAGTTGTTTTTTTTCAATTTGCATTTTACTATAAAGGTTTTTCAAAGTTTTTTAATAAATACTCTTCTGCGATAAGTGCGAAACTTCGTTTATACAATCCGCCTTCATGTCTCGGGGAATATTCGAACTCACGGGTCTATCGCAGACGTTCTAACCACTGCCAGACTTGGTCAACAAAGGAACATGTTCATATGGTGACTTTTTTCTATTGTAGAAACAAATTAATTTAAAATGATATGAGAATACCATTTATATATGATACTGCCACATCTAAGGGAAAAGTCATGTAAAAAAGATTATAATAACTTAAACATGAAAGTATCTTTTTATTAAGCCAATAGAGATCTATGAATTTTGAGAGCGATCACCTTAACTTTAACTTAAACTATGATCTATATTATACATGTCACATATTAGATCTTGTTATTTAAAAAAGTAATAAGTTGATAGCTACATTACTCCCAAAAATTGATGATTTCAATTTTGATTTTCCTTTGACGATTCAATGAAAACAAAAGCAGATCAGTTTGAAATATTTTAAAGTCTAAATCCGGCAAAAGATGAACTTTTATAATCATCAATAGATGAGTTGTCCTTGACACATTCGATCCAGACCTTATCACCGACCGCCAGTGTTACGACAGTCGTACGTGTACACGAATCATTTTTTGCTTTCGTGGAATTACACTCATGAACAGCCCTCTGCTTTCCATTGACAATTAAAGCCGTGGTGGAAAAGCGGTACTCTGTCGACACTACACTCCAAACGAAAACATAAACGCCACTTCCGGGAACAGTGAATATACCAGAGCTTGCGTCATATCCGTTACCATTGTTTTCATCCAAAGTGGAGAAAATTACTCTTTCACCGCTCTTTATACTGCTCAAGGAAGAATTAAGGCTCGCTTCGAATGCGATTGTTTCTAGAAAAGAAAACCAAGTAAGTAATTTGCCTATCACTTTTATCTTTTAAACAGGATTAAATTAACTTTCCATTTTCAGTGGATCGAATCAAAAGTAGATACATTTGCTATTTATTATTTAAGTGAATCGAATTTATTAATTTTGTACTATTGTAGATATTGACCATTTGTTAATCTACACTTAACGCAAAATAGTATGATTTACTCACAAATAGCAATCTCAAATCAAAAAGAAACATTATATTTATTTGTCAAATACAAAATTAAGGTACTATTTCGTTATTTTAGCCTATTTGCCACGCAATAAAGTTTCTGTATGGCTTTCTCCGTAACACACTGTCTATATCTTATGGAATTTGGCATGATTGACACAATATCTCAGCCAAACATACAATTTTTTGTTTTGTTTTTTAATCTATACGAAGAAATTAATCAACTTGTACATTGTTTTCCTAAAATATCTTTTCGATACAAATCAATTACCAATTTAATTTGATGTACTTTAAGTTGCAAAAACAACGCACACCCTTTTATTTTTACCTTTTTCTGTGAGGGTATTGCCCCTCTGCTCTTTGACAAATCCTAGCGTGAAACAAGTTTGAATGGCTGACAGGTAATCATCTCGGAAAGTGTTCCACTTACTGGTTCTTTCTGTTACACAGTTCCCGGCAGTTTCCGGTGTGTTCGGCAATAATAGTAATAAAGCAATTGCAAATTTATGCATCCTACAGAAAACAAATTGACCATTGGTCAGTTTTTATCCATAAATTGATTTATACTAAGGATTTATTTTCTCCAAACGGTAATCTTAGAGGTGGATAGACACAGATTTGAAGTTAATATTTCCTCAGTTTTTATTGTATATTATCACGCCTTATATATTGCACTCTTATTTCACATGAAAATATATTAAAAATCTTATTTCATCTAAAAGTTATCGAAACTTCATATTTTTGGACGGATTTGGTTGAAACCTCATTGCACTTTCACAAATTTTGATTTTATTCTTCATACTTAAGAAAAGTGGAAATCTTGTTGTGTATAAATGAAATATATTAAAGCTATAATCCAGAAAATATTCAGAGTAGAAATGTTCGAAAGCAAAACATACACACAATATATTGTCCGTCTGTGCAGTTTGGGTGAGCATACTTGAACAATTGAACACGCCGTATGCCTGTTCAACAGAGCGATTGTTCGCGAGCGCTTGCAAAAATTCCTTATACCTCCAAAAGGAATGTTTGGGAGAGCGCTCTCTCTTGAAAAGACCTCCGGTGAATCGTAAACCTTAACAATAACAGAGCTCGTGCCCTGTTTACAAAAACTGTGTTCACGGATATGTTCAACTTGCTACACTCTGTATACAACACTAAGTGCGATACTTATGAAGGGATTTTGCTTTCGAACATTTCTACTCTTAATAGAATTATGATTTTAGTGTAAACGTTTTAATTAATACACAACAAGATTGCCACTATAGTGCTCTGCAGTATAAAATAAAAGCGACAAATATCAGTGTGTGTTTTGAAAAATTAAATAATCATTCTTTTCCAATGCATGATTAGCTCTGAATGAACCATTTTGATATTTTAAGAAGGATTAACTTACTTGATTCTTTTGCACATTAAAAGACTCAACGCGTGTTATAATTTTTATATCACCTATTCGTCAGATTCTCTAAAATGGGGGTTTCACGTTTATTACTAGTATAAATTTACAACTGTACCCGCCAATCGTTTACAGCTGTTGTGTTTTAATTACTGTATCGCGTGATTTTATCATGTTAATACTTAAAATCAACTGACACTGGTTTGAACATATCACATTTTCAAGATACTAAGTATATTCCCTTAATGACACAAAATAATTGTTAAACGTATACGAAAATTGAACCGAAGGTCAAAAAGGTTATATGCCTACTTAAGGGTACTTACCACAAACAAAAAATGGATGCGCGGATTGATATATATTTTTTGACTGATTTTGATTTGTATTGATATAAATAATAAATCCCTGAAATATAAAGAAGTCGTAGATTTTCCTTGGTGCTTAGATTTGAGATTTTATTTTGCCTTCTATATAATTCCATACAAAATTTTGCACAATTTTTTAACTTTATGACAAAATCTTTTAAAATTCTCCCACTCTACTTGGCAAACATTATTCAGATTGTCAATTTAAATTTAAATCTATAAGAAATAATGCTGATTTCTGAAAAAAGTTTGTTTGTGTTATTTATCCTAAAAGCATTTGTATTTATATATACATATAATTAATTAAGATTACATGCATATTTAAATCACCATATGGAGAGAGATGGCAGAAAATTTATTGCAAAAGCTAAAAAAAAATATAGATGTATTACTACCTAAATATAGCAAAATAAAACTTAAAGAGATCAATTGTATAATATCTATAAATAAAAGAAAGCATAATGATAAGGGACGTTTTTAACGCACAAGAAAATTAACGGCATGTTTCTGCGTACTACGTCATCAGTTTCAGAGAGTGGTGATATGGATTGAGAAAACCACAGTATGGTGATGTGGAAAGTCGGATCACGACGTCACGTGATTGCATTAAATCAATATTAAAATTGAGAGATACATGTTAGGTACATAAAATAAAGTAGCCTACCGCGACGGCAGTACCTGAGCGAATTATGTTTAGTGATTCGCAATGAATCTGGAAAGAGAAACTGTCCTTAATACAGACGTAAGAATATCCATGTTAGTGAATATTTACAAAATACATTATTAAGGACCAGCGAAGGATGAGAAGAGCAATTCCATCAAGATTTACTTCTTAAATTAAACATTGCCAATTAAATGAAAGAAAAAGAAAATGAAACAAGTAAAAATACTATTACCGTGCATCAGTTTTTAGTATAATGCTTGTTTGTTTCCTATTTTTAAAAAATTGCTTTATGCACTCCATTTATCTTATGCTAGACAAATGCCTGTATTGTAAAGAATGTGTGAAAACCAGTTCCCTTTGTTAACTTTTAGCTTTGTTAATTTTTACCTCCTTAAAACACTACAAGACATACTTTGATGAATATTGTCATTTATTTTAAAAGGACTGATGATACAAACAACCTTTTGTCAGAAAAATTAAAAATAACAAGTTAAGTCATGTTTTTATGAGTAAAATGAATGTTTAACCATGTAGTTTTAACATTTCTTCTCAAATTCTCACAAAAATGGGATTTGAGGTGAAAAATATTTGTATGGATTAATAAGGATGGTTTCACAGAGGTAGAATTTTGAACATCATAGAATGTTTACAATTTCTTCATTATTCTAGAAATTTATATTTTACATCATTTTCAATGAAATAAGACCAAGAAATATATATATATCAATCCAGGCATCCATTATTTGTTTGTATCATCTGTCCTTCATGACGAAGATAACAACTAATTACAAATATATACATTTGTGGTATCTTTCCATTATATAAACATACAGAGAGAAAATATCTTCAATTCTGTATGAAATTTGTCAGAGGTCAGAGGTCAATACATGACCTAATCACACGGCGCAATAATATCTACCGGTACATGAATTATAAAATGACCTGCTCTGCTTGCTTTTCATGTATAAAAATGAATAAAATAAGCAAGTAAAATGATAATATTATTTTATTTTAAATGTAAACAAGTATTTCATACAGTTTTTGGGCTATCGATTCAACCTGTGTACATAGAGAAAACTAGGAGCCAAGCGTTTGTTTACATTTTTCTTCACTTTTGTCAGTTGCACAGTCTCTAACGTTCATCCTTATTTTTTGGATAGACCTTTGGTTAAATTTTCATGATAAACTTTTATTTTATCTTTAAATTTTACTCACGATAAATGTGTAAATCTGTTGGAAAATATCTTTGCAATCATGCCATGAACAGCTGCCAAACACCTCGGCGTTTTCGTAGTTCAATGTAAAGCTGTCGCCAGTGTCTCCGTGTTTATCAGTGTTTTACGATAAGTATGCCTTTAGTTGCTGAAACCGTGGAATGTTTTTGATCAAATTGCAAATTAACTGGCTCGAACAAGTGTCTCAGTCCATGATCCATCCATCCCTTTCCAGCGACCGAAATTCCTCCAACTTTTTATCATCAAACTTCGGACGTGTTTCTTGTGTCTTTTCAGCATCGATTATCATTTTTCACGAATAAAATATTCCCAGACAACAATCTGTTCACTATTACTGATCACAAGCAGCCTTTCACAAAATATTCCCTTCGAAATAGATTCCTTAGCCTAATGAATTCGAAGCCTAACCGCCATGCAAGCCGATTTACACCTTGCGTCATTTTTCAAAATCTACGACGGACGGTTAGTGCAATAATTTAAATTCGATAATATTCAATTGTCTGTCTCAAATGTATATATAAGTAATAAATAACAAGTTTATAAACTTCAATGGGAATTGAAGTGGTTTGTACGTGATCAAATCTTCTGAGAAGGTCTTTGGCCTTCACATTATTTGATCAGGTTACAGACCCACTTCAATTCCCATTGAAGTTTATAAACTTGTTATTTATTTCTTAAATAAACTAACTTAACTACTCGGGAGATCCCAGAAAAACGCACAGAGACTTATTGAGCACCTAATATCACAATGGCAGTAGGATCTCCCCAAAGTCTAAGCAAGATATGATTATCATTGATAAATGTACATTTAGAAGATGGGAAATCACCAGGTTACATATATACAACAATGGTAGGGGGATCTCCCTGTTTACTTGAGCTAAAACTACAGACATTTGAATCACACCTAAATCACCTAAAACCTGAACAGTTTGAATTTGCACAAAAAGTCATGTTATATTTATTTTTGACAAAACCTAATCTGAAATCAGATTTAGAAATTTCCTATGAGTAACTTTTTAATTGAAAAAGAAAGAAGTACAATCTTGAACATATTGATGAAGTGAATTTCAATCAAAACTCTATAATGTTTGAAATAAGATTTTCTTTACATACAATTTTTGATTTATTCTAAGCGTGATATCTTTAAGTTGTACTGCACTTTTACAGTTCTAGAGTTGAAATATCGTATATAGTAAAGATCACTTAGTTTTCGCTACACCTCATGTTCGCAAGGAAGACATTAACCCTTTGTTAGCGAGATGAAATTTTCACGAATTGCAACTACAGCTATATATAAACTTTAAGAATACAAATATATGCGAAAACTAGAAACGATCTCGTTGCGAGCAACAAGAGGTCTTCCGTCCGCTTTAGGAAAAGAAACCCAGGAAAAATCGAGCTGAAAAGAGATTCAAAATTTGGTCACAAGGAGGATTAAACCCATGTCGCCAAAGTGAATGCGCTTTTTTAAAAAATACTTTTTTATCCCCAACGCGCTTACCATTAAGCTATTGGGAGTACTGCTCTAAATATACTTTGTGTATACTTTTGCAACAGATCACCTGTCTAAGAATTATAAAAAAGCATTCATAATTTCGTGCCAAACGCCACGAGTAAATATTCGCGCCTTTTCTTTGGACTGATCTATTAAATAGGTATGATAGCTTCAATTAAATTTCAAAAATAAAACATTCTTAGCGCCTTTATTTTATTTCGACGTTAAGAAAGTATATGTAACACATTATACACATTACATATCATATCTAGCCCAGTTACACTAAAGCAGTGAAACGGAAATTAAGTTTTAAGATTGACACTCAATTGCAACGTTCTACTGTAACGTGTCGGACCTGAGCGGTCAGTAGGTCCGTGCTCGGATTACCGAGTTTTACTGGGGATACGATTGAATGCAATATATACAGATAATAATGACACCTGCCTGGTGTCTTTAAATCAAATGACCTAAGTGCTTTGTACAATTATATATCTTCAGTTAATACCGGCATCTGCCTGGTGCCATATGACAATTGCCTCACTATACAACTGACTATATGAGTCTGGTGCCTCTTGATTTAGCCTTTAACACCTGCCTGGTGTCTTACTGCTTACCAAGTTGCCATTTTAACTCTAGCCAAGTAGCTACAATATACTTACACAGTATGATTTAACTTTGTAAGAGCTTCTCTGTCCTAATGACAAACCTATAGCTAACGTCACACAACAATATTTTAACAAGTCACAAACTAGATGCTGTCATGAGACAGTAATACCCGCACTATGGTGTTTGCCTCTAAATATACACTCATTCATATTGGACTTTCCAAGGAAGAAGTCAAAATAATTCTATAATTATCACCGTACATGTATTCGTCAAATTGAACTTAAAATTTTCAGATGACCATATCAACTCTGAGCCTCACATATGTATTTTAAAATACTTAATTCATAACCAGTCTGAAATAACAGAATTTAATTAATGATTGAAGTAAATTACTTAATTAGATTCAAATAAATAATTTTCCCATAATTTGGAACTTTTTAAATTTACTTTCTCAACGACATAAAATATTATTTTAGTACAAAGCGTTTTTGATGAATTTATCAAAATGTGCAAACTGATTTTAGTATTTGGTCGGGAAAAAAACCCATTGAAAATACAACCCGATTAATTTGTAAATGCCTATCTCCCCCCCCCCCCTCCCCCCCCCCACACACACACTCTCTCTCTCTCACTCTCACATTTTTTTAAAAAAACATAGTTTAGTTTATTATGATAGTTTGAAATTTGTTCTTGTACTAAACAGTTTTATTTTCTACATTCACATTGGGTTTGCGTCACCCATTATCATATTTATAGATATCACCTCTCGGCACACCT